TTCTTCCTGTCAGACTCGGAAGAGAACTTCAGCTTGGGGTGTCATGAGGTTAAATCTCTGGAAGGAAGAAGAGGGCGTGAGATGAAGTAATAGGATGAATTCTGCTGACTTTAATTCTGTCTCTTGAGAATAGAGAATCTGCTTGAAAATGAAACATTCTTGTGTACAGAGCACTGTCCAGCAGGGGAATTGGTTGTGTGCCCAGTGTTGCCATAATGAGGAACACACCTAATGAGCAGTCTGAGGAGCTGTATATGTGTCCTCTGCTGCCGTTCCTCAGAATGCTCCACCTTGGACTGATAGGACGTGGCTGTTCTCTTCCTCTCATGGCCAGAGAGCAGCAGCCTGAGGGAGGCCATTGCCCTGCTGTTCTGGGGACAGTGTGGAGAGCATTTGTTGTTCTTGGGTGAACTTCCTTTCGTGGGTTGTTGGCTTGCAATGTTCAGTTTGTCTATTTGAATGTTGATGTGGTATTTCTGGACGCTGAAAAGATGCCCTTTTTTTTTTGATCCCTTATAGTTTTGCTGGCCACCGAGGGAATCATGGGAGGGAAATGCCACCAGAATCAAGGCAGCTTCTCCTTCCTTGCAGCATCCTAGGGACCCCTGCCTCCTTAGACAGTTCCTCTCTCAGGTTCCTTTTGCACCCCCTTCTCTTTATTGAGCATATTTCTTGTTTCTTTAAATGCAGAGCAGATAATGACCATACAAAAATGGATCTCCAAGGTACCTGTGATGAGAGACTGCGGACCTCAAGTTTCTGAGCACCATTGCTTCATTCCTTAGGGGAAAGTGAAACTGAGTTTGACAACTTGCCTCGTTGCCTGTTGGATAGTGTGGCTGGGGTGAGAAGAGCATGATGTGAACACATTGGGCTGTTGTGTGTATGGGTATGTGCGAGTGAACAAGTGAATGGCATGCAGACATTCCCCCAAATTATGAGGCTCAAAATAATCATGACTTTTTGAACTTTATGAGGATCTAAAAATGATATGCATTATAAAAAAAATCTACCTTGAATTTTCAATTTTGATCTTTTCCAAGCTGGTGATATGTAATACAATACCCTTTAATGATGCTGCACTCTGGTAGCACAGAGCTGAACTCCTGGTCAGCCAGACCATCCCCTGGGTGAGCACCTGAGACCCCACAGCTGCCGTGCTGCTCAGCTGGGATGCTGTTGGGTTGGGGATGTTAGTGCATTTTTTTTACTTATGATGTTACAAGTCTTCTGGTGGCTTTATCAGGACATAACCCCATCATAAGTCCACCAGCTTCCACATTCCTAATGGGGATTCCTGATACAGCGACCAGGTCTCAAGACGACAGGTAGAAATCAAATGACAATGTACTACAATTCAAAGGAAAAATTTTGTAGCAAATTTAATAGTGCAAAAGCAAAGAGTTGGGCAGAGTCATTCATCTTGATGTTTCAGTGGCACAAGATTACTTGGTTCTTCAACAGGCTAAATACGATTTTTAAAATATTTTAATGGACACACAACATTCCTATATTTATTAGGTACGTAGAATAATTTGGAAGATGCATTGTATGTGAAATGAACCAATCAGGGTGGTTAGCATTTCCTTCTCCTCAAGCATTAATCACTTCTACATATTGAGGAACTTCAGACTCTTCTAGTTACTTTGAAATGTTGGAAGGTTTCTGTGGCTACTTTTCCCCTCCCCTGTTACAGACCACCAGAGCTGCTCCTCCTGCCTATCAGTGTGTGGGAGCGTAGCGTCTTCCCTGCCTTGTCTTCCCTCCCTCCTAAACTTCCTTGTCTCCAGCGACCATGATTCCACTCTCTTTCAGGAGCTGTAGCTTCCACACATGAATGACAACAGGAGGGATTTGTCTTTCTGTCCGGGCTTATCTCACTTATAATAATGAGCTCCATTTCCATCCATGTTTCTACAAATGGCAGGATTTCATTGTTTCTTAGGCTGAATAAGATTCTGTTGTGTTTTGTATCCATCCTCCTACCAATGGACATTTTCTTTTGCTATTGATCCCCTGATGGATGCCCTGGCAGATTCCACATCTTGGGTGTTGTTAACAGTGCTGCAATAATCAGAGCTGTGTAGGGATCTCAGCATGGATTCATTTATTTTGCATCTATATGCAACATTGTTCAGCATTCTCTGTCCACATCCCTTTCCAATACCCACCTTCTGTAAATTAAGTTAAAATTACCTACACATTACCTCATTTGCTTCTCACAAGGTCATTATGTATTGGATACCATTATCGTCACACTTCCAGTTAAAGAAATGGAGTTTCTGGGTGCTTTACTATGTTCATGCAATCTTAACAAATACAATTACTGGGGTGATATTTTTGAACTCAGCAAGTTGCTTTAAGCTCTGAGATCCAAAGAGCTACACATGGATCTTCTCTTAACAAGCATAATCACATCTTGGGATAGATACTACCAAGGAAACTATCCTACAGAAGAAATTATAAGAAGAACCTTCTTTTTAAATTTATTTGTATGTTCAGTTCACACATATTTAATTGCATATATTTTGGTGAAGACTAATGCATCTCTCTCTCTCTCTCTCTTCATAAATACATGTGTAAATGTTTAATGACCAAATTGGGGTATATATCATACCCATTGTCCTTGAACATTTATCATTACTATCGACAGGATATCTCAAACTCCTGTTTTCTAACTACTTTGAAATAAACAAAAAATATGGGTAGCCCAAGGCCCACTTCTGTGCTGTGGAACACTAGAATTTAATTCTCCTATCTGTGTTTTTGTACCCATCAATTAACCCATGTATGTCCTCCCTTCCTTGCTCACCTTCCCATCCTCGGGTAAGCACTGTTGTGCTCTCAGCCTTTGAGCCACCCTTGTCCCTCTTGGTCTTTCCTCTTGCCACCCTAGTTCTTGTTAGCCCTGGATATCTGAAATGGGCAGTTTCCTTGGGGCCTTTGCATAGTCTGTACCTCCTACCAGACAATCTTCCCTGATGACTTGCTCTTTGTGGCACTTGCTCTTTCTCTCTTCAGATTTTGTTCAAATCTGATTTGTCACTTTCATTGCTGGTCTTGCCAGAAGTTGATTTAAAAAAATCTTTATCCACTGTCTTGTTTCTTATCTTCTTTCCTCTTCTTCCAAGCATCTGTCTTACCTGGCATGTTATATAATTTTGCAAGTTTGCTTTTAATTTTTCTCCATCTTTATGTTGTAGGGACATTTGCTTTTCTGCATGGTTCACACATTTTCTAGATTATTTCTAGAACATAGTAAATACTCAGCTTTTGTTCTTCAAGTGCATTAGGAGTCTCTCACTATAATTGTAGAATACTGAACTAGAGGAAATGCTGAGAAATGGGAAGAATTTTCTAAAAAATAAAGTTTAGGGTGATGTCTTGAGAGGAGACCAGATTCAGATAAAATATAAAAATGATGTCTTTACTACAAAAACATATGAGAGCGAAATAGAAATTAAATAGTAATGCATCTCTCTCTCTCTCTCTCTCTCTCTCTCTCTCTCTCTCTCTCTCTCTCTTCCACTAATTGTCAAGCCACCACATGAAATCAAGGAATGACACACAGATTTCAGAATTTATTCTTCTGGGATTTTCAGAGGACCCAGAACTGCAGCCCCTCATCTTTGGGCTGTTCCTCTCGATGTACCTGGTCACTGTGAGGGGGAACCTGCTCATCATCCTGGCCACCATTTCAGACTCCCACCTGCATATGCCCATGTACTTCTTCCTCTCCAACCTGTCCTTTGTAGACAAATGCTTCACCTCCACCACCATACCCAAGATGCTGGTGAACATCCAGACACAGAGCAAGGCCATTACCTATGCGGGTTGCATCACCCAGATGTACTTTTTCATACACTTTGCAGGGCTGGACATCTTTCTTCTGACTGTGATGGCCTATGACCGATATGTGGCCATCTTTCACCCCCTGCACTACACAGTCATCATGAACCATGGCCTCTGTGTGTTGCTGTTTCTGATGTGCTGGACCTTGAGTTTCCCAAATGCTCTGTTACAAAGCTTAATGGTGTTGCGACTGTCCTTCTGCACAAATGTGGACATCCCCCACTTCTTTTGTGAACTTAACCAGGGGTTCCACTGTGCTTGTTCTGACACTTTTCTCAATGACATAGTGATATATTTTTCATCTTTACTTCTGGCTTGCTGCTCCTTCACTGGCATCCTGTACTCTTACTGTAAGATCGTGTCCTCCATCCGTGCAATCTCATCAGCTCAGGGAAAGTACAAAGCCTTCTCCACCTGTGCATCTCACCTCTCTGTGGTCTCTTTATTTTATGGCAAAAGCCTGGGTGTGTACCTCAGTTCTGCTGTGACCCCAAACTAATGTTCTACTGCAACAGCCTTGGTGATGTACACTGTGGTCACCCCCATGATGAACCCCTTCATCTATAATCTGAGGAATAAGGACATTAAGAGTGCTCTGAGAAGACACTTGGGAGGGCAACTGTAGACAGTACATTTCCTTCTTTGCCTGGTGAGTCCACTTAACATGGTGTGCTCCAATTCCATCCAAGTTGTGCTGAATGACAGAACTTCATTCTTTTTTTTTTTTGACTGAATAATAGTCGACCATGTGCTTCTACTACATGTATTTTTCTGTTCTTCAGCCAATGGACACCTTGGTTGATTTCTCATATTGACTATTGCAAATAGGGCAGTCAATTGTATATGCAGGTTGATCATAGATTTTCTTACTCTAACTCTTTTTATTTTGTTACTGGAATTTATACAACAAAGCAGAAATATTATAATGTGCTTTCTGTTTGTGTCTCAAATCATAGTTGTCTCCCTGTTTCACTGTGCAAGTCAAAGGGTTTCTTGGTTCTAGAACCTTGAAGTGCCTTGAAGTGCTGCAGCCTTGAATGGGGTTCACCATCATCACCCCCTAAAGGAGCTTCCTCAGCCACAACCTGTGGAATAAAGACATAAAGCTGGCCCAAAAATATTCTTTGGAAAGAAAGTATTTTTCAGGATGTAAAAGTGATTCTGATGGCTAAGCCCAAAGCTTCAAGCCAGAAATGGTGATTCTCTGTCAGGTGGTGGGAGGAGAGCCTATCTTTCCCTTTATATCCCATAGTTTCCTTCTCTATCTTCATTAATATTCTGCTTTCTCTGATTCTCACACGTTTCTTCCTCTGGCTACCCTCCTGCTTTCCTGCAGTTATTTCTTGTGTTGCATCAGAAAATATATGAAAATTCCGGTTTTGTTTAATATGATATTTTGTGCACCATTATTACATCCTGTCTATGACAAAGCGATGGGAGTGTGTAAGGCAGCCAGTTCTCATGGAGTGACAGGGAATGTGACCATGAGAGGTTACCATCGAACTGAGCTTATGCGTTACAAATATATTTCCTGTTTATCCAAGATGGCCCTGGGAGGAGTCCCAGCAGAGCAGCATTGGGAGGAATAAACTCCCATGATGGGCTGATGGGTGGGTGGATGGGTGGATGCTTGAATACGTGGGGGAGGAGGAGTGAGTAGAGGGGAAGACATGTAAGAAAGCAAAAGTATCAGAAAGTTTCTTGCAGATGCGTGGTGAATTGGTGGGCTGCTCTGGGCACAATTAGGTCACCTCAGTGTACCTCTGAAAATCTTAATAATAAAGTGTTGGGAAAAGACCACCTGATTGTTTGGAGAAAGATAGATTCTTTGTCTTGGTTGGGAGCAGATCCTGGAGAACGTATGTTTGGAAATGTCTCTGGATAATCAGGTACTATCACCCTCACACACTTAAGTGACAAATTTGACCAATGGACAGTGTTGATCAATCTTGAAATGAGGACGTCCAGAGCCCAACCTGGAGGTGAGGTATGCACACCTTGGTGGGCTCTGTGTCTAAGCACTGCAAGCTTCTCACTGTTGGTGGGTAGATCAGGGATGGGTAGATCCTTGCTGTCACAGAAGCAGAGTGTGGCATAGAGACCCTGATTTGCTGACAAGGAAGGGGGAAGGAGACAGAGGGAGGTTGGAAAATGTTATTATATAATCTTTTTATTCATGTATGTTAATTATACAGAATGGTGGGCTTCATTGTGCATTGGTATATTCATTAAAATAGACTTTATCACTGCTGTGTGTGTCATTTTTTCTTTGTTTATTTTTTTTGGGGGGAGGGTGAGGTGGGATTAATCTCTGTTTTGACAAATCTAATGGGTGTGCTTCATTTCTGACTCTAGTCTTCTTCCAAAATGCAAAGACCTTCCCAGACCATATTCTATAAGAATTTGTGCAGACCATGATGATGGTGTACTTTTAGGATGGCATTTTTCATAAGATTTATTCCTGAAGACAGCAACCATACACACATATATCTAATTGTTTTATCTATTCACCAGAATGATATCCACATATCATCCACACAGATATCCAGGGACTTCACCTGCTATGTTGGTCCTTACTTTATCATGGTATTGTGTAAATCTATGTGCACTATGAGAGAAAATATAGCAAAGAAGCTTAGGAAACAAAAGGATGGCAAGAAATAAAGCCAATTATATACAGTGCTTTTGACGTTCACTGGCACATTTATAAATACAATGTAGTATATATTACACCATGGAATACCATACAGCTCTCATTCTTTAATTTACAACAACATGAGTGACATTGGAGCATGCCTCAATAAGAGAAGTATGAGAGGCACATTCTGTTAGGTGCCCATGAAATAAGAAATACATTATCTTAAACTATTTGCCTTGGGGATAGATAGTAATGCAGCAATGGCTTACTGATACAGTGATTGATACAAACAGATCAGAGGTCATTCAGAATAATCTGTTGTTTCTTATTTTTGGCGTCTGTTCTAATATTTGATGGCATTATTCCTAAGGACCTGGATATTCATGTTCATTTCAGGTCACTGTATTAAAAAACAGAATATGATTTATATTACCTTCTAAGCATTTGGGAGTGATTGAAAGCATATTTTAAAAATTTCATTTATTTTTTATTATTGTATTACAATTGTAAATAAAAGAGAGGTTCATCAAATTTTGCAAGCACATAGCAAAATTTGATGAATCTCAATCCCCAATACCTTCCTGTCCCTGAAGAGCAGATTTTTTTCCCACCTAGAAGTACCCTGTAGGCCCAAAGCAGAAGTCTCCATCCCCAGAGCCATAACTGGTCCTCTTGGTCAATGTCTTGCATGAGTCATCCTTTGACCATGAGGTTTCAAGAGAATTTAGGAGATTAAAGAGGAACTGATGACAGCAATGCTCCTGTCACTCACTTACACACTAATGTGTGTGGCAAAGCGTGTAAAAGGGGAGATAGTTTGTTAATGACAATGGAGGGAGTCATATTAGTTGGCAGCACTGGAGAGTTTTAAGTAGAAACATGAGATGAAATAATATAGAAAATTCACCAGGTCTTTCTGCCAAGTGGAACCCCATGGTGTGGACAGGGAGTGTCTATACTTTGTGACTAGATGTGTGCATGGACCCAGCATGACACAGCTGCAGCCATCTGGAGTCTTAGCCACTACAATTGCCCCAGAGTAATCCATGGTGGTGTTTCCTGCAGAGTTTCCAGCAAACTCTAGCAGACCAAGCCATCATCCTGGTGTGTGCAGCTGCACAGCTGGACCTGGCTCCAGGGACGCCCCTGACTTGATATAAGCTTAAGGTAAACCAGGTACATTCTGGCTCAGATGAAGTCATTGTCCTAACCCACATATATGCTCCTCTTTGTGACCCAAACTGCAGGGATCCACTAGGTGTCACTTGGTCCAGGACCAGGCTTCTGTCAGTCATTCCCCAGTAAACTCTGCACTCTGGGTCCATCTGCCTCACTTTCTTAAGCCCCCCAGTAGGTTGGGGCTGGTTCTCATACACCAGGCCCAGTTGCTCCAGAACCATGTACATCGCCAAAAAGAAATCTTCCAGAGTAATTCAAGTATGGTTGAACATTTTAGTCCACAGGATTCTTGGTCATATCTGACTCTAAGTCAACCAAGACATTAAAATTGGTCTCTCAGTGTCCATTATAGTTCTAACATGTATCAGATTCAAAATTTTGGCCTTACTACACTATGCACGGTAAACAGGACGCACTGAGGACCATGCTGGAGAGGAACAAGACCATCATGGGGGAGAACAAACACCCGTGACAGCTGGGAAACATACGAGTATGTTGAGGTCTGTGTTACCAGAGAGAGCAGTTAAGGAGAGATGAGCAAGGAATCAGGAATGTAGGTGTCAAAAACTATACTTTCAGATTGTCTCCTGCTATAAAGTTATACAAACAACCTCAGCTGCCTAATGTAGTTCATACCGCATTAGTGCAAATAATAATCATATTGGACAGTGGGAAACTCAAAACATTTCCAAAAATTGGTAAAAACTTTGAGAAAGTAGGAAAAATGACAATACGGAAAATTACCATTGAATATTAGAAACAGCAGAAATTTTAATGAAGCTAGTTGTTTAAATTGTATAAAGTCATCAAAGTTAAAGAAACTTGACACTCAAAGAAAAATCTTGGAGCAACAAGTTGTACTTCCATGACCTTACCATGGAACTGTGGTCACTATCTCAGAGGAGGACAGTCCTGCAAGCAGGGAGAGTTCTGGAAAACCACCATTACAGTTTTCCTCAGGGGTATCTTCTTTGAGTGCTCTTGATGTCCTTATTCCTCAGACTATAGATGTAGGGGTTCAGCATGGGGGTGATCACGCTGTACATCACCGAGGCTGTTGCACTTGAGTGTGAACTATGGTCACAGCAGAATTAAGGTACACACTGAAGCTCATTAAGTAAAATAAGGAGACCACAGAGAGGTGAGACACACAGGTGGAGACAGCTTTGTACTTGCCCTGAGCTGACGAGATTGAATTTATGGAGGAAACTATCTTAGATAAAAGTAAAGGATGCAATCAAGGGGCCCACCGCCCAGCAGCACAGATGTAAAGTACATCACCATGTCATTAGGGAAAGTGTTGGAATAGGCAAGTTGGACCACCTGATTAAGTTCACAGAAAAAGTGGGGGATTTCCAAGTCTGTGCAGAAGGACAGTTGCAACACCATTAAGCTTTGTAACAGGGCATGCAGGACACTCAGGATCCAGGACACCACAATCATCAACATGCAGAGCCGGGGGTTCATGATGACTGTGTAGTGCAGGGGGTGACAGATGACCACAAAGCGATCATAGGCCATCATGGCCAGGAAGAAGTTTTCCAAACTGGCAAAGACTATGAAAAAGTGCATCTGCATGATGCAGCCTTCAAAGCTTATGGCCTTGCTCTGTGTCTGCATGTTCACCAGCATCTTTGGGACAGTCGTGGAGGTGATACAGATGTCAGAAAAAGACAGGTTGCTGAGGAAGAAGTATAAGGGTATGTGCAGGTGGGAGTCCAAAGTGATGGCCAGGAGGATGAGCAGGTTTCCACACACAGCGATCAGGCACATGGAGAGGAAAAGCCCAAAGGGGAAGGGTTGCCAACAACAACAACAACAATAATCAGACATGCATGACTAATCTTTCAGAAACGGTCTCATTTATGTTACAGCCAAGAAACTATTTTTATGTTTCCTATGTGAATCTTCTCCCCTTTAGGAAACACCCCAACATTTATGATTTCCCATTCTCAGCTTTTCCCAAGAGATCATGTATTCTACAATAATAAATTTCTTTATGCCTTTACAGAACCAAATTCAGTATAAACCCAGTTCCTGGGGCTGTCTAGACAATGTGCAAGCAATGCAGAAAAAAGACAAGCATCCCTAAAATATTTTTTTTTGTCTCAACACCTTTATTTCTCTGCAGGATGTGACATTATCTTTCTGTGTTTCAAGTGCCACTTTTTTCAGCCTTCCTTTGGTTGGAGGTGTATATATTTAGTTTGGTTTTGAATCCAGTGAAGACTATGATTGAATTAAAAATGAAAAATAATGTCATGCTTTTCAGATTCTGTTTATAAAATCTTGTACATTTAGAATTTTTTGACTCTAGAGTTTCTGTGGCATTAAGTGTTTAGAATTGTAGTTTCTGGTGACATTTGAATAACATGCAGTATAACTGAAAATCTTATGATGTAGAAAGATATAGGAAAAAAATTAAATTGCATAATACTTTAGATGATAGAAGTTGCGCTGGGCTCTGAATGATGAATCCCTGTTAGGAATACAAAAGATATCCCATAGTTTTTTTTATTCCATAATTTATATTATGGCCTAATAAACCTAGAACAAGTGGAAAATATTGTAAATTGAAAATGCCTTGACTGCCTTAACCTCATGAACATCCCAGCTGGGCAACACAGTAACTGTAGCCTCAGTGCAGTTCTGAGCCCTTGCAAGCCCTTGCAATGTTGAACTGGCAGGGCACATGCTGTCTGTTCTCCAGCATCGTGAGGGTTTGATACAGCCTAATACCATCCTGGAAAAGAACCTAAGTTTGAAATTCAACTTACAGTTTCTTCACAATGCACATTGCTTTATACCATTGAAAAGTCGAATAATAACAGGTAGAACCATGAAACCTTGGGGAGAGTCTGTATACTGTGCCCAAGTACCCCTCCTCTGAA